TACGAAAACAGATTATTAGTCAATATTTCTCAAGTAATAACGTTTTTCATCAATTTTTAAAAATTTTATTTTATAGTACATAACAGATGGTTTCAAACAAGTGGTTTGTGTTAAATCCTTTCTATGGTTAATTGTATAAGTAGAATAAGTAATCATGGGAAGGTGAATTTTTATTCAACTTCACCTGCCCCTGATATTTATTCTACTTATACAATGATTGCATATAATTTAGACCAGAAAATATTTTCTGTTTATATAATCAAAATAAATGTTTGTTTAAAGTTATTTCGTAGTTAAGAATATTAACTCCATTAAATTATAAGAAAATTTTAAGATGAAAATAAAGAAGGTGTTTCAGTTTAATAACTTCTACAAAAAAATTTATTAAATTAAAACTTGGATGAAACCTTGAGCATGCTAAATATTACATCGTGCACGATGTAATATACTTTTCTGAATAGTTTAAAATGAATTAGAATTTTTCTTGATTTTTGAATATTTTTGGTTTAAATTTGTGTTAAAGAGATTTATCAAAAAGTTAAAGTAAATTTTATACATTAGTGAAAATAAAATGATTCTAAATTTATAAGCATTACCTCTGCCTTGTTTCTTTTTTTGAGAATTTTCAGTGTCTTCAGTTGCTACTGTTAATGTTGAGGAAATTAATTTACTAGTTGATGTAGCAGCAGATGTGTCAGTTGATGGAGCTGCTGTTTCTGACATGTTGAAATCACTTTTTATCTAAAAATGTATTGCAATATAAATAACAAGTTTTTTTTATTTAATTACATAATATACACAATTTTCTGATTTCTATTTAACATAATGATTTGCATGTATTTAAACTGTAAAATTGAAATTCTTACTGTACATGGAAATGTATATATGCTTCGTTCGCAAATGTATTCGTAGAAATCAAGTAGACATAAAAAGATTCATCCAAAGATCTCACTGCAACAATAAATTTTTTGAAAAGAAGATAAGTAGACTTATTTTAATTTATTATTATTGGAGATTAAGTAAATTTCAAGATACAATTTTTTTAACAAAAGAAAATTTATTTATTGGGTTTTACTTTTAGTTACGATGAATATTTAAAATTTTTAAAGCTAAATACTTATATATGAACATATTTTCAGAAAACTGATAACACAATGAAAATTGTAAAAATTTATGTTTCTTACAGTGGATGTCTGGAAATTTCACAGACAATTAAATAAATTTAAATCATTGGTATAAAATTCTTTCCATAATGCTAAAATCAATTAGTCTGTTGTGCGAAGATTTACTAGAGCAGAATATCCAAATTTATTAATTTATTCACTCAAAAATGTCATGTTTCTTTATATAGTAAAAAGTTTTTAAATTGTAATAAATAAAATAACTCAAAATATAGACACATTTCAATACAATATATCATGCGGAATTAGCAGTGCAATTTGACAGGAATGGAATTTGCAGTCTAAACCGTCGATAATATTTTTTTGGAATACCAAAATTTTATTTAAAGTTAAAATTTATAGGTTAATGAGTAGAATGCTAAACTATTATTCATGCATGTTTTATTAAATTCAATAAACCTTACCTGACAGGAGTAGCTATTACTTGTAGATATAAGTACATATAACTCAACTAAATTATTATTTTATTTATTTGTATAATATGAAATACTTAAACAAATTTTGTAACAAAAGATGCAAAAGAACATGCTGTCGCACACATGTGAGCGCATTACCATCACAGTGAATTTACACTATCAAGTTACGCAAACGTAACTCATGTTAAATATTGATTGTCAACACGCAATCCTTTTTATTGGTGAGACCCAACAATATTGTCCAATTTGAGCCAATAAAGGTTCTCCACAGTCGCTGCGCATGTCAACTGATGGTCTCTTTTTTCGGGAAACCAGTGTTTTTCAAGTTTCGGCGATATTTTGTGTAAGAGTAGCAGACTAAAGAAAACGTTGCGTACAGTGTAGAGTGTAGTGTGTCCTCCAACTGCGTTTGCAAAAAATTAGTACTTATAAATGCATTAAGTACTTATTAAGGTAAGATCTTTATTCATTTACTTTCCAATGTATTGATTTTTCATAAAATATGTCCAGACATTGCAATTTTATTTCATCAATACAACTGAAACAAAATTTATAACCTAAATTTCGCCAAATCGTCATAGAAGTTCGTCATAAAAATTTTAATAAAACTTTAATAAACTTGTTCTCTAGAATGTAATTAACCAAATTATAAAATGTAGTTAAAAAATATTTTAGTAAATGTGTAAGATATAAAACGTTAAATTTTTTTTAACTTATAAATTTTTATTGATAAAAGATATCAATTTCTTCAAATTTATTTGTAAAACAGATAAACTTTTCACTAAAAACTTTTGGAAAAAAAAATATTGTGAAACTTTGATGTTGTTAAACAAAAACATTTAATTTTTATTATTATAATGAATACTAATTTTGTTTTGATTCATATATTTTGTGGTGGTGGTATATTGGTGATATTTTTCTAAATGTTCTGTAGGTTCAAAAATGGGATCTTTGTAAAACTTATTGCTTAATAAAAACAAAATTTTACAGAAATTTTGTTTAAGAAAATAAGTTGTGTATAATAACGAATAATTCTCGAAAAATTTTACCCTTATATCTTTTATCAATAAAAAGTTGTGCGTTGTTTAAAAAATGATGAAATTGCTCAATATTAGAATAGAATAACATAGAAAAGCTTATAAGAAAAAACCAAAATTTTACAAAAAGGATTTGAATAATTTTATAACTATACTGAATATTTCATATACATATATTTTTTTAACAGAATATAATGGCTGAAATTGATAATAGTGTAGTACCAGAATTCGCAATTGTGGATTTTATTAATGGTGCTTTAATAATAAGAACAGAGTAGGCAGTTTTCAATACTCAAGGAGAAATAGTTGCAAGTTTTTTCCCGCCCGTAAAAGACCAAAACAAACTAACAAAATTGTTGCTCACAGAAAATTGTACACGAGATGAAACATGGTGCAACAAAGAAGGATTACCGCATCATGTTACAAAACTTATAAAATATGCAAGTAAGTAAACAAAAGTTTAATTACAGATGAATGATTAATGATGTTTTAACTGACTGAAATTAGATTAACATTGTATTAATTAAAAAATAATTAAATCTCTGTAAAAATTTGATTAAATTGAGAAAAGTTTTTGAAAATAATTGAAATTTTGCCAAGAATTTTATTAAAAATTTTGAAAATATTAGAATTTTGAAGAAGAATTTTATTACTTTTGAAAGTAATGGAATTCTTGAGACAAATTTTAATAATATATTTCTAATTGAATTCTTTTGTAAAATTTGATTGATATAGTAGATATTAAAAATAATTGAATTTTGTTAAATTATTGAAATTATTAAATTTCTATAAAGGGTTTTACTAAAATTATTTTTAAAAAAATTGAATTGTTAAAAAGAATTTCATTAAAATTTTTGAAAATAATTTTATTCTTTTAAGATATTTAATTATAAATGTATTGACAATAATTTTTAATTTTAAATTATTTTTATAGATAATTATGAAGATGCTGTTATAAAGTTAAATTATTCTTACGACTTAACAGAAGTTGAAACAGATAATGATAGAAATGAAGAAAAGAGTAAGTTAAGCAGAAGTAATAGACACTCTAAAATACACGAAAATAATTTTGATACGAATTCGAACAGTCTAGATGGCACCAGCATGAAAACCAATTTTATACCTCAGATAGTTGCTGACAAAAGAAGCAAGAAGAGAAAACTGGAAAAAATGGTAAAAATAATTATCCTCCAAGTTTTTAGTATACAATCATAATTCTATTTTAACTCCTTTTTTACTTATCTATGAAATTATCATTTTTAAAAATTCTGTAGATTACTGTATCCAGTCTCATGTGCAAAAATTGGAAGTCATAAATAAACGAAGAAATGATGGAGAGGAATTTTCTGACACACAGTTAATTGAAGCAGGAACTCTTCAAGACGAAATAGGCTTTAATAACTTAAATAATTTTAATGAGGATGAGGAAAAACAGAACGTCGATGATGAAATTGAAGAAATAGATCAATTAGATGACGAAACAGATCGAGAATTGTCTAAAGTAGTTACAACATCCAAACAAATACCCGAAGAAAATCATGAACTACATAAACAAGCTGCAATATCAACTCCACCAGAAGACAGACTTTCATCTCCACTGACACTTGAACCAATATCTCGACCAAGGCCCAAACCAAATCATCAACCATCGGTAGAATCAAAACATCAAAAAGTATATGAACCATCAGTTCGACTATTACCTCCATCATCAGGGCGACGATCAGATGGATCATCAGTTGGACCATCAATTCAATCTGGACCTCAAACACCGCCTCAACTAAAAACACAACCCTCAACTACAAAATTTTTAGAAGAGGTAGAAGATGGAAACTTTCGTAATGGTACGCTTCTGTTGATACTTAAACTTTCTATTAACGCATCCTTCAGCTATTGAAGATCATATTTTATTTTAGTTTTTAAATGTACCTAATTGTAAAATTATTTAAATTAAATCATTATTAAATTTATTATATAACACATTATTAAAAATAATTCATAAAACTTTCAAATTGTTCTTTGTTTTTAAGGGAAGTCTGGTATTTCAATGTTTGGTAATTATTATTGTGAAAATATAGATGCAACAGTTATAAATTTTAATTATAAAACATATATTACTACAGGTACAGGCAGAAAAGAAAATAAAGGGGGTCGGAAAACAAAGTTTCATGACACGCCCGAAGAAATCGATCGATGGCAATGTAAGACGTACTTATTATTAAAGTTAATTATATAAATGATATAATTGTAAAATAATTATCATTTTTTCAATTGAAAATTCTTAGATACATTTATATTTGTTTTTTTGAAATATTTTATAAATTTGTTCTTTTTTAATTATCTAGGTACGGAAAAAGATATAAGAATATTTAAAAAGTCAAATACTATGGGCGTGTTGCTGGAACATATATACCACCATGTCAACACACTGAGGCAACCCTTTGAAGAAGAATTTGAGTTTGATGAAGTAATGACTGAATTTCCTGTGACATCAGCAGATGACGTCCAGCTCATCGAAAATAAACTTAAGGATGATGCTTTTTTTACTAAAGTTGTAAGTATTTTTATACATTTTTATGTCAGTTCTTCAAAAATATTATTTAAGAATTATAAAATTAAAATTTTTTAAATTATAAATCACCATCAAATTTTTTATTTTAAAAAAGCAGGGTGACACTTAAAAAAATGTTCATATTTTAAACTTTGAAACTATTTTGAATTTCCAAACAATAAATTTAAACTACAAAACGTTTTAAACTTACTAGATATAATTTACCTCGAAATACATTAATTAATTAATATACATATACATGTTAAAACTTAAGGATGATGATCATTAATATACATATACATGTTTAATTAATTAAACATGTATTATTATTATTTATTATAGTTAAGTCTTAATGGCTGGAAAATTCTAGTCATCAAACAATTTTATTTGTTAATTATTAATTTGTCTAGGTGACACATAAAAAGTTTATTTTATAAACTTATATCTTGAGTGATTATCTTAAGAGTCCTTAACCTTTTTCACTAATATAACGTTTTTAAATATAATTTTAAAAATCTATTTTTTACAGGTAAAAGCGTTAAAATCGATTGGAAAGTTTACGACCCTTAGTATGACCGTCAAAAATGCGATGAATAAAATCCTATCTCCACAGGTCGGAATGACTTTCAGCTATAAGGGAAGAAGTGGTAAAAAGCCAGCATTTCTCGAAACATCTATGCATAAAGTTGTATTTCGTAAGTAATATCCTTTAATTTTTTCATTAAATATGTGTGTCTTTTTAGGACAACAAATTCAGTTTTTAAGTTTTACTTTTTTACAATTTTGATTATGAAGTCATGATTTTCATATTTCAGAATCCGTTCGAAAATTATATAAAAAGAAAGTTGAAAACAACGAAATTCTTCATTGGATGCAGAATTGGATGGAGCAGTGTTCTTCTGAAGTGAAACGAAAGAAGTTTGTATACTTTTTATCAACTAATTATTTAAATTTTTCATTTTCACCCGTAATAAAAAAATGAATATATTAAAGGGCAAAGGAGGAAAAGCAGAGGAGAGCCGAAGAAGCCCAGATTCTTCTTGAAGATGATGATGACGACGATTATGACGATGATGAGACCGAGGATAAGGATAATGAGAGTGAATAAGTGATGCACTGAAAAAAAAATTATTTGATTCAAATAACCAAATAATTGACTATTATCAATTAAATATTTACTTAAATAAAAAAATATTTATTGATGTCAATTAAATAATATTCGAAACAATAATTTCAGTATTTGAAGCAAATACCATTTAATTAACTCCAATAAATATTATTTGATTCAATTAAATATTTAATAAAAAATAAATAATAGTAAATTAATCGGTTATTTGAATCAAATAAATTTCTTTTTCAGTGTCATTCTTGTGAAAATGTTCTCGGGAATTAGACCGAGAAATTCTCAGGAGTCATTCTCGAGAAATTCTCGGGAATCTCCCGGGAGTAAAAAAACAAATGAATACAAAAAAATTTTCTTTTCTTTTTTCACTCCCGGGAGTTTCCCGGGAATTTTCAGGGAGAGTCCCGAGAATTTCTCGAGAGTGACTCCTGGGAACTTTTTCACCTGAGGGGGAAACAAAAGCTGGATTTATTTGTTGTTTGGCTGTTTTACAAAAATTATTATATAAAATTTTTATAGAATTAGCACACTAGGTATAATATTAAATTATAATTACTTTATTACGCAAAGAATTTAGAAAAAAAAGTCGTAAGTTTAATAAGATATTAGCAAAATAAATTTTCATTTGTCCGAAACAGTAAATGTCCGAATAAACATTCGCCAATTACAAATCACAATTATCAAATAATTGTGATTGTTTAATTTTTCAATTCGCGCAAAAATCCTTCTGGCAAATGTTTTTAATTACTTTGGAGCTTTAATTTATCAAGAAATAACATTTTTCGGAATATCATCTTTTACTATTTTAATTTTAAAAGAAACGTACAAAATAATGATTTTAATGTTTTAAATTCAATTATAATTATTCTTTTTTTATTGTACAACATTTTAATTCAGCACAAAGTGTCATTATTTTTCAATTTTTTTCTTTAAAATGAAATGTTTTATATCCAGAATATAGAAAACATTGTAAAAACTTGTAAAAAAATATACAAAATAATGTTTGGGATATAAAATAAAAAGTATTTCATTTAATTACCATCTTATTTATATATCTTTATTTTCCATGCGTTCTTTTTGTTCTCATTTTAATCGACTTCATTATTAGCTATTAATATTTTTACCCAACAGTTCACGAATATTTAATTTAAAGCTTCGATCAAGTTTCGAGACGAAGCTTTAGCGAAATTTTTATTTCAAGTTTCAGTCAAGTTTTAAGTTGAACCTTTACTGAGACTTTAATTTCAAGTTTCAGTCCAGTTTCGAATCAACCTTTAATAAAACATTAATTTGAAGTTTCAGTCGAGTTTCGAGTCAACCTTTAACGAAACTTTAATTTCAAACTTCAGTTAAGTTTCGCGCTAAAGATTTACTCAAGGCGGACATTTAAATATTTATACAAGCTTTACTCAAGTTTACTTCTAAAGTCTCCGAAGTTTGCAAATAAAGCTTTAATAAAATTTTATTAAAATGTCGGTGCTATGTGGGGCATTGTTGGGACCTCATGGACACTGGCCCCTCGGACGCGTTATTGAGACACAATGTGGCACAGATGGATTGGTACGAGTAGTCACCGTCAAAACGCAGCGTGGAGTCTACGTAAGACCGGTGACAAAGCTGGTTCGTCTGCCTATTCCTTTGAGCACTGTTGAGGAACTCGAAACGGCGGGCGGCAAATAATAACGCACCTAACGTCTTCCTTTTTTTTTACTTACGTCCTGCAAGGACACTGTGTTGATTTTTTGTATTACCAAGTTATGTTATTGTTGCCAATGTTACCTGTTTAAGTTCTTTCGAAAAGTCTTTCGTTTTAATATTTCGTTCAAGGAACGAGGCGGGCGGGAATGTTCGGAAAATAATGTTCCCGTTCGAATCTTCGCTCCCTTCCTGCGGGTCTTGTCCCCACTCTTATCCTATGATGGGGGCGTGGGCTACGGAATACCTCTAAGGATAATTTTCACAGTGAGTCCAATATAAAAGCTGAGTTCGAGTGCGCAAGAAGTGAGTAGCTGTACTTCAAACCCACGTCGAAGAGTATTTGTTAATTGATAATTGTTAAGTATCACGAATTGTATATCTTATGTAATCGATTTCATGTAAAATAAAGAGTTCAACAAAAGAATATAACAGAGGTTATGTATGACCTTTTCAGAGGTTAAAAGCAGAAGCATTTTTAGTTAAATGAGTAAATATTTCAATTACTTACGAAAAACATTAAAATCCTAAAAATATGTCGTGCACACTGAACTATAGTTCAATTCTTATTTATTAACACGATTTTATTTATTTACGAAGACGAGAAACACGCACGTGGACAGAACATTGAGCACGCCGAGATTTTATAGTTTGGTATAGGCGTGTGAGCTGTGACGCGCTATGCTCTCTCAATTCGGGGTCGCTGATTGGACGAAAAACCAGTGTTGTAGCCTTCTCTCGCGGTAAGGTAGTGTTCCCTTGAGAGCTAATCTCCCTTCCGAAGTCGGGATAGTACTTACCATCTGATCTGTGTGGTAGCGACATTCGTAGATAAGGTAGCGACACAGAATTTTTTTCAGTGTAGAGCACATAAGATTTTATGTCCCGAAGTTGGTGCAGCGCTTTACTTCCTTGCTGATACGAATTCAAAACCGGAATACGTTACGACTGCATGGTTTTTCAATGTCATTGCAAAATGGTTTCGCTTGATGGCTTCGCGAAGTTTGCAGCGTGCAATTAGCAAATTTGACGACAAAAAGTATGAAGATACAATCTCTTTTTTAACAGACATGGTGGACTTGATGAGTCGTATTAATTATTTTTGTAAACAGAATATAATTAAATAATTATAATTTATTGTAATAAATATAATTATTGTATTAATTAATTTTTCCATTAAAAATACGTTCTATATCAATTTTTAAAAATAAAATATATCAATTTCTAAAAAATACTAATAAAAAATGAAAGTTAGAGTTAAAAATATATTTACAAGAACCTAAAATTAAAATATTTAGTAACAAACCGATATAAGATATTAATAAAGCATTATAGAATGTATAAAACAAAAAATAAACAAAATACCCAGAGGGTATTAATTTGACTAGGAAAAACCAGGAATAAGCCAGGAATGTTATGCCAAATTGGAAATTTTTTCACCAAATTAAAAAAAGTTTTATTATTTAATTTTGCTTTTAAAAAATCGCTTTTTATTTAAATTTTCATAGATATTTATATTCTTCTCTAAATTAAAATTAGTTATAAATAATTAATTTGATAGTAAAAAATCGGCAATTGATTCAAATATACTATTGTAAATATATCAAAAAAAAATATTAAATTAATAGAAACTTTGTGAAATTCAACTGAAAATAATACAAAAATAAAATTAATAAAATAAATAAAATTATCTTCGAGATTATCTTTATAAATAATTAAATTGTTCTTTACAATTCAATTACATATTTTTAAAAATTTTAATTAAAATTATTAAAAAAACATTATTTTTAAATAATTTAAAGAAACGTTCCCAAAAGAATTCAATTATTCATAAAAACTCTAATAAAAAATCTGGAAGCCATTTGTAAATTTATCTATGTTCGAAATTAAATAAATTTAAATTTGATGAGAAAAAAACCAAAAAAAATTAGGACTGTTAAAGTAGGATTTTAGAAATTTATTTAATTTGTAAATATTAATTTTTAAAAACTTCAACTAACATGTCCTTCGGACGAAAATCGTATAGGTAGTGGATTCCCCCTCTACTTAGTTATTAATTCAACTAAGAGGTTGAGAACCCTACTCCTTGAATTTGGAGAAGATAGGATAGTTTTATAAGGTATTTTAAATTAAATATAAACAGTAGATTTTAGACAAACGTTAAGTATATTAAATCCCAAAAATCCCCAATACTTGAAATATCTACTTTCCGTCCTTCTAAATGAAAGAAAGTGTAGTGTGTGTAATAAGAGTAGTATGTGTGTGGTGTGTAACAAAATACAATACTCACAACTGGACAATTCTGCTTACTAGTCACTTCATTCCAATGTTAATCTTCTTGGTTTTTCTCAATATTTCTTACGTAAGCTGTTCCCGGAAATTCGGAAATACCAGATCTAGGATCACTAGATCGATATTTTACTAGGAGCTTTTTAGACGCGAACTTTTGAATTACACAATTTAAGGACGTGAAAACTAATTGAACAAAGTTGTTTCAAGATTTAAATATTCCTTTATTATGAATTTATTCTTTTTGCTGACTTTGATTTTTAATTAAATACTTATTTTTCTCTTCGATTAATTTTCTGATATTATTTCTTTCACTTTATTTTTTTACTTGATTTTGTTTTAGCTTCTTTTTAGATAATTATTTTAATCACTTGTTTTCAATTTAAATATGATATATTTCTTTTACTCAACTTCAATCTTTAATTAATATGCGCGATTACTTTGATTATTCACTTTCTATCTAAACTTTTATTCCTTTACTTTTTTGAGAAAATTCCCTTCTTCAGGGATATGAACTTTATCTGATCTACACGATCTACTCGGCCAAATTGCCGGACTTGAACTTCAGGCTACAATGGCCTGGACTAAAACTGCGGGCCTAAACTGCCCGGGCTAACTGCCGGCTACAACGGCCTGGCTTAAACTGCCTCGATTTCCCGGTGTCAATCAATTTTATTGAAAGACGATTTAGTGGGGGAAATCATAAACTAAGTTCATTGCACTTGACTGTTGTCAAGCCAATTTCTGCAACTTTATAGATTTAGGCAATGGTGTGATCCGAGTTCAGTGACTTGAATGCACCACTCCTTATATTGGGCAATTGACATATTTTAGTATTTCTTAATTATTTCTCAAAAGGAAAGTTAATAAACTCTTTAGAATAGAAAAAGAATAAATAAAGGAATATTACAATTTATTATAGATTTCTATCCTTGAATTGTGCATTATTATAAAATATTATTTTATTAGTTTGGATGTTTGTTTTTGACAACTTGTTTCATAGTATCAAAATAAAAGAATGTTC